TGTGTGTGTGTGTGTGTGCTCTCTCTCTCTCTCTCTCTCTCTCTCTCTCTCTCTCTCTCTCTCTCTCTCTCTCTCTCTCTCTCTCTCTCTCTCTCACTCCCTCCCTCTCTCTCTCTATATATATGTAGACGATATATATATATATATATATATATACATATCAAAAAGTCAATCATTCAATTGATCATTCGATCAATCCGAAAACTCCAGTTTGTCGTGCGGGGTTTCTGACATGTCATCAAGTCGGTCACTCAGTCGCTGCATTGGATGTGTGCCAGGCGGTCTGGCCGAAGGTCAATATGTCAAGAAGTTCGTGAGTCTGTCTCTAAATCAGTCTCTTTTCCAATGCATCGGTGAGAATGCAAGTCACTGAGTCTGTCATCCGATGACTGTTTGCTGATTACAGGACCGGACGTTGTTTTTTTGCGATTTGGCAGCTCATCCTTTTCGAGATTGTGTTTCCGGCATCGCACCGTCCACCACGCACCACACGCACGGCGCGGGAGAGGGTCTGCCATCTGTCATGGATGACTCACCAGCCAGTTGCACGCCTGATGACAGCAGGTCAGCCGAACGGCCACCCACTTGGCCCGCGCGTGGCAACGCCACGGCGGTGTCACCGCATGCCGGACAGCGCGGTTTGCTGGGAGTTTCCCCTTATGGCAGCCCGGATGACATGCGATCAACAAAGAGGCCTCGTGTTCACTCTCTTTCGCCTACGGTCGTCGTCACTCCCGGCGTTGCAGTTGTGCATTCTCCGTTGCCGCCGTCTCCAACGCGCCGTCCATACACTCCGGTACACCCTTTGTCAGATTTCGATGCGTTGTGTTTTCCTGTGCTGTCGCCGCCATTGCAACCTCGCCGTTTGCAGTTTTTGTCATGTGCTGCGCAGCCATTTCCTCCTCCTCCACTTTTCGTTGGACGCGACGGGTTGGACTCTATCCCCCTAGAGGGGTGTTCTCAATCATCAGGAGCGGTGTTTGGAAGTGGAGGGTCCACACTGCGTGACGGAGGACGTCGGAGTGTAGAACCGCGGGTCTCACATTCGTTCGCCGCATCAGGTCATGGGCAGGGGGGTGTATTGGATGATGCACGTCGTGCCTCTGCCGGGGACACACATGACCGTAATTCCGCCCGTCGTTCTCTCGTCTCCCGGTTCGACGAGGATGACATTGTGTGTGGTAGCGGAGATGGGCCCGGCCGTTGCGATCCTGACGCTCAAAATCTTGGTGCGGGTCGTTCTGAACACTCGGGCGGGTCCTTGGGGCAATTCGGTTCGCAGTCAACTGGTTCCGCGAAGTACTCTCGTTTGTTCCTGACTACCGCTTGCAAGGAGAGACTGCGCCTTTTACAATCTGCGATGAAAGAAGTGAGCGACAAGTCTGTGGGGTCATGAGCGATGTCGTCGACCGGCTGTTGCATTGGTCATTGCCAGCCATCCGGTCAGAGTTCGGGGACGGTGTGGCGTCGAGGATCGAGAGAACACTACAGGCCGGCAGTCGTGCAGATGTGTTTCGTCTCGGAGCAGGAGGGGATGATTCGACAGCAGACGCTGAGGATGATGGCGACCGTGAGGGTGAAGGGAGCGGTGGAGGCAATGGCGGGTCGTTTTGTGGGTCGGATGATTCACTACCGTGTTCAGGGCACGGGTCACAGCGTGGCCGCAGATCGAGCGGGCGGCTACCAAGTCGTGGCAGGTCGCGTTCGCGTTTCGAACATGTACGTCCTTTGTGCTGGGACGATTCGAAGGATGGTGCTTTGCAAAGCGGACCTTGCAATAATCGGTCTAAACATGTGTTGAAATCGATGGGGCACTGGGGAGGCTCGAAAGCGCCTGATGTCGTCTTCGTGGAGCCGGTGAAGCTGCTGCAGTTGCTCGGGTTGTTCGATTTGAGTTGCCCACGCCACGGGGGTGGTTGTGCTGTGGATGTGTCCTCTATCGGTTATCCTGGGCAGATTTGTCGCATTTCGCTCGCTTGTAAGAAATCATGTCGTTGGACATGGCACAGTGCTCTGGTTGGGGGAGTTGTGTACTCTTGCAGACTTCAGCAGCAGTTGTTCCATGCGACCGTCACTGCGGGTATGACATATACCGTCCTCAACGACTTCTGCATCGCGTTTGGGGTGGCACCTGTGCACAAGCCCACTTCTTACAGTTGCATGCGCGGTGAGCCGAATGTGCGTGAGGGTTGGAATGCAAAGGTTGTCAGGCAGAGCGTGCGGTATTGCGACTTGGCCATTGACACGGTTATGCGATCAGTGAGACCCGTCACTTTGATGGTTGACGGTCGCTATGACTCGGCCAGGTCTGCGCAGCATTGCACTATTACCGCGATTGAGTGTGATACTCGTCTTGTGGTGGGTGTTCACACTCGTCGGCCAAAAAATGAGGGAAAGGGGTCGAACCAACTTGAGGTTCCTGCTGTTGTGCGCCTGTTGAGAGGCTTGCTATCGAGGGGGTTGAAGATCCGGTGTGTTGTCTCCGACGATTGTGCTGCATTGGGTCCACAGTTGGAGCGCCTGGGTATTGAATGGCAGAAGGATTGCCATCATAAGGTAAAAAACATTCGCAAGGCACTTAGAAAAATCGTGACACTGAAGGTGCCAAAGAAATTGAACAACCCTCATCAGTGCGTGTCTGAATCTCAGTTTATGCAGTTCACGAAAAAGGAGCTGTTGGATGCCTTGACGGACCGTTTTGCACCAGGGTCTTTGACGGCAAAAGAAGAACGATTGAAGAAGAGCGACTTCGTTGCTCTTGTGATGAGCAAAATGTACCCGTACGGCACGATGAAAAACAACAAATCCTTGGTCGTGGATGCAAATGGTGTGACTGAGTTCCATATGCATGAGGTGGGGCATTGGTTTCTTCGTGCTTCCCAGCTTTGCAGAGATGAGGGCGGCGACTTTGTCACTCTGCACAATGATGTCATGATGATCGCCGACCATTGGGCCGGGGACCACTCCAGGTACTATGGACAGAGAGCTTCTATGCTCAAAGGGGGGTGGCCCATCTCGGCTGCCTCTGTACACGCACAACGACCCCGTGTATGACATCATTCGCCAGACGTTGGGCAGGCATTGCAGCACGACCGTTTGTTCGTACTACACGAAGTTCCGTCACACGTCGACGGTTGAGACCTTCCAGGGCACAATCATCATTTACGCGAAGAAGGCCTTGCACTTCGAGAAGTCGTATGAGCCGCGTTTGGCGATTGCAGTCATTCGATGGAACAGTCATGCATGGCAGGATCCCTTGGAGTATCGTGTCCGCAGGCCTTCTGGGACTTCGATTCGTTCAAGGCCGAGCCACTACCGTCACAATCGGCCACCTACCGATTCGTGGATGGATCGGTTGTCCACGTTCATCTTCGGTTCAAAATGTGTTTCAGATTGGGCTCGACGCCTTCTCGAGTACGACGACTGTGATGTGCCGGGCGAGGTCGGGTCCTCGACACCTCCTCTGCCTCGCGATCTTTTTTGCAGAGGCGAGGATACCATTGCCCGTGACGAGGACGACATTGCTTCAGGTGCGGATCCCGATGTTGTGGGGGATGACGATGTTTTCATCATTGGCAACGGGGATGAGTTGCCTGGACCGGCGGATGACGTGTCCAATCGATCATGCGATTCTTTATCGGACGCAGATGATGTCGAGTTGTTCGACGACTGACATTATGTTATGTCATAGTATCTTGTACATGCGACTTTTATGTTTGTTGGGTTTTTAGTTTGACGTATTGATTGTATATATATATATATATATGTATATATATATATATATATATATATATATATATTTTCACTCTGACTGCGAAGACTGATGGCGAGGCTGTATACTATCCCGTAGGGTTAGATTTGTAATTTCGTTTGACTCGGGCGTAACCGTGAGACCAACCTGTGAGGAAAATTCGTGAGGGTCACATCTGTAAATATGGGAAATATAGGCCCAACATTATTTCAAATTTCCTATACGTACACTTACTGCGAATAGCAGGCCCGGACTACCCCCAGGACAGACAGGCCCTAATGGCCAGAGCTGATGGACGGTCCTATAGCCTATAGTCGGGTCCGGTAGAGGCCGAGAGGGCGAAACTGCAACGGTATTGGTCAGTTAGTCAGTCCGGTCTACGTGTAGGTTAGAGTACTGTACTCTATTAGTAGAATGAGGGAAATCGATTGGGGACGAAGCGACTGTAACAAACTATGTTATGATATTCGTTCGAGTTGGCTCATTATCAACATCATATCAATTGTGATTTGCTGAGGTTCTTTATTGTGATTGTTTGTTGGAAGTCTGTCGGAGAGTGAGACTCATTGTGTGACCTCCCACATGTGTGCATGGTTGAATTCCGTTGCTTATCCTTGTCTGTGTGCAGTTTTGACTCTGTCATCTCTCCCCCTCTTGTTATGCATGTGTGGGCATGTTTTATATTGTATGGGTGGTTAGGTGTTTTAAAAAACAAAATCGTCTTCCCCTGTTCTTATGCATGTGTGGCCGTGTTTAAGAATGTCTGTGTGTGAGCGCTGGAAAATATCGTCAGACAACCAAGTGATATATATATATATATACATATATCGTCACAAACAGAACTGTCCGGTAAACCGTAGGCATATATATATATATATATATATATATATATACTATTTGACGATATATATATATAATATATATATATATATATATATTTTCCTCCTCTGCGTATAGATATTATTGGACCAATGTCGAGTTACACATACATCCATACTTCACATGCTTACACAGTTAGGCAATAGTTGGATCGCACATTATATAGGCGAACCAATTCAGATTTTCACGTTGATCCAATATTGCAATGAAATCCAGTTGCAACAGTAAATGAATGAACTTGAGTAGCGAGAGCGAGGATTAGAGTCGCTCAGACTCCATTGCCAATGGTACAATGACATACAATTGCAAAAAGAAACAAATGAACTTCAAATGAGAGATCGAGGATTATAAGAACATGAAGATGATGTACAGCAGGGAAACCAAATTTTACATAATGCAATTCATGCAAGTCACGACAATAGGTAAGTACCGGGCCTGATGGCCTGTCGAACAAGCACGGGCCGTTACGGGGCACACCAAAAGTAACCCCCACACTTAAGTTTACGATCGCGCACACACACTCAAGGCAAACACACAGTCGGACTGACAAACGTACTCACACTGCAGGCAAACATACTCTCTCTCTCTCTCTCTTTCTCTCTCTCTCTCTCTCTCTCTCTCTCTCTCTCTCTCTCTCTCTCTCTCTTTCTCCATGTCTCTCTCTCTCTTGAAGCATTTACCGCCGTGCACGTCGACGTGGGCGCGCGTTTTCAGGAGGATCACATTGTCGTAGTTCAAAACCTCGAACAATTGTATCTGGCCATCGTTCCCGCAATGCGTCTTGGAACTCATCTGGCAATCTTTGTCGGAAAACGACGAACCCGCACAACCGAGAAAAAGCGACATATCCATTGTAACGATTCTGCTTGGGTTCGAGATGTGCACGACCAATAAGCAGATTCATGCACCGTTGCAGATGCTCATCCAGACCAGCAAAAGTCACAGCCTCCTCCAAAAGCGCTGCAGGTCCCGGCCACCGGCTCCTAATTTCAGCGACTGTCAGCTCCTTGTCGCGGAAAGGATCAGTATCTATCCCATTTCCAAATACTACTGCGTCGGCCCGCACGCCAGCCTTGCGTCGTCGACGGTCCATGTATGGGAAAGGATGAATATTGTTTTGTCGCTTATGTGTGATTTTTTTGAAATCTACAAAACAGAACATTACGGGCACCGATTACCTTAGTACTATGCCTACTGTACCTTCACATAACGAAAACGAAAACAAATTTCAGAACTCAAAGCAGGCAAAAAAAAAAAAAAATACTGAAAACATATAACAAACACATGGGAGATAGGGCTTGCATATGTATAAAGAGAGAATATACAGTCATTGAAACCATCATTTTCTCTCTCTCCAACAACGAAGAAACTAAGAAAAAAATTAACGAATGGTACTCATCATTGGGTCGAACTGGAAGGATAAAACATGGCAGAGAAATCCTCGTCATTAGAGACAAAATAGGGCGGTGACACGACCAGGCGCCAGACGCCGTCCCGAGCAACCGTCCCGTAGTGTGTGTATAGTATACGATGCACAAGGGGGAATACGATATCATACATGAACTCACCGTCGACCGGTTTGAGATCAAAGGTACTGAAGTACGTGGTTGGCTTAGACATTAGGACACGAACGTGTTCGATGGCGTGGTCGCGAATATAAGTTTGTGTAGTGAGTCTAACGACTCGTTCCTCCTCCACGCTGACAACGAAATGACGATCCACCTTCTTGTATCCATTGCGGTATCCCGCTGCATCGCCGACATGATCTGTTACGCGAGTCATTGATTCGTAATAGTATACGGTGTCGCCGCCTGTCAGTTTTGTGGTGTGGTAACATCGGACAATCATTGGCGCGCAATGCATCGTTGCTTCTTTCGTATGGCGTTCGAAAAGTGTTGCAATTCACAGAAACCGACACCGTAAGTTATCAACCTAACGATCGAGCATCGAATAACGCAAACATAATATTCTGCATGTACCGCATGGGGAGGGGGAACACACTTTATACATATATATGAGATGAGCGGGTAGTCGCGGTCTCGAACACTGTCAAATGTTAAAAACCTTTACGATTTTGTGAGTCAACCCACCTATTTGGGACTAAGCATGAGACGACCGGGATAATGGTTCGTTGACACTTTGGTACTGTTGTCGGCAACCGTCCATTGGCAACACAGTGCGCACATCTCCGTGGAGAAAAGTACGGCATTGCAGCGGCCTATCGAGTTTGGAGAAATATCATGCATTGGGTGCTAACCTTTCCACATGCTCGACCTCAACGACTGACACGATGCACCTTAGCAAATGACCAATCATATCGAAGTCGGGGGGTTCGCAGGCGTCAGGAACGACATCTGAAAGTTTTTTTGCGTGCATTACAACCTCATCAAGACGATCATGGTCGTCGTACCACAGCCCTGCCACGACCCTCAAAGCGAGGGTGTCATCGATGAACGCGTAGTACACACGTGTTTTCGTGGCGACAACCCCTTCCCTGTATTCAAAGTCTCTTTCGTTTTCAGTATCACGCTCACACACTGTCTCCCTCACGACTATTTCCTTTCCATCCACAACCCCTTTCACAACAACAACAACGTCGGCCATGTTGTGTCGCAAGGTTGAATAAGTGAACCTGACAATTACGAACAGTCTCAATTGATAGCCGACGACACTGCGAAAGATGACGGCAACACAATGCGTACAATAAGCGACGGACACAATGAGTCCAGTCTCTCGGCTGTAAAAAATATATATTCATAATTACGAACAGTAGTACGTTGGTTGGTTAGTTGGGTGGTTGGGTGGTTGGGCGGTTGGGTTAGGTGGTTGGTTGGGTGGTTGAGCGGATGGATGGGTGGTTGTGTGGCTGGTTGCTTGGTTGGTTGGGTGATTAGGTGGGCAGATTGGTGGTTTGATGGGTTGGTTGGTTGGTTGGTTAGGTGATTGGGTGGGTGGTTGGGT